AAAAAAAAAAAAAAAAAAAATATATATATATATATATATATATATATATATATATATATATATATATATTTACGAGCTAAATTTATCGGGATGTTCCGTAAGGAGCTAATCATGGAACAAATAAAAAGAGAAGAAAATGGGTCGAAGGCCAATTTCACGTGGTTAGCCCTAACAATCTGTCGAGACTAGCCCTAAGGATGGTCCTCACGAAGAGGTCGAGGTCGACCTATAAGGAGACATGTGCCGTGGGCACTCCTGGCTCGTATGATATAAAAATTCTTCGATCACCAAGATAACATTCGTTCTTCATTCCAAAAATTTTTATATACTCAAAATTCTCCTAATTAACTTAAACATTGGAGCTGATGCGCGCCGGAAGCATCATAACAGTCTTACATTATCCGTAGGTTTCTCTTATTTTACTGATCATGTTCTTTCCCTCGAGCCAAATAAGTCAAAAATTTATCACAAAAAGATAAGGACGAGTCCAACTTGTACTATAATTTTTAAGATGGGGTTTTAAAAAAATCTTAACCCGACCAATCTAAATTATATGGATTAGGACGGTGTCGATTTGATTCAAAAGATAATTTAAATTAATAAAAACGCTGAATATTGTAAATATTAAATTTAATATTCTAGAACATATTAAACATAAAATTAAAAATTTTATAAGGACAGCTAAATTTGTAATTAACTTGAAAATTTTATAATAATTAAAAAATTTTAAGATGATGGTGATCGAGATTTAGAAGACTAACACGTAGCACAGTCGTTTCGAGGTGAATTCTTCACTATGTCGAACGTCGTATAATAATACTCAACGGGTTGACTTATGTCGAGCTGAGATGGCTATACAAGGCCAAAAAAACCATTCCATAAATAAGGATATCGACACCTAACATAAGAGATGGACACAATGAAGTAAAGAAATCCATGAAAATTTTCATTTAATTTTGTGAGTTAATGGTTGAAATTAAGGTGCGTTTGATTTGGGGGAAAAATCATGAACCCTAAATTGGAAGGATGGTCAAAGGGGGAGAGATTTGGAAGCATTTGGGTTCCCAAATGAAGAACGAAATTGGAAGGCCACGTGAAACCAAAAAACAGAGTGGAGAGTGGAGAGCGTAGTCCGAGCAAGCCGCCAGGTGTTCCTATGGCGTAATTTGTACAAGATTCACGCCTTCCACGTCCGGCGCTGACAAAACAACGAACACCAATCCGTTCTTCGCGCTCTGCTCGATTCCCGAGAGAATCGAATCCCAATTCCGACTCTCCACGCTGCAATTCTCTGTAACTGCGAACTGACAGTCACCCATTAATGGATTCCCGGCAATTGGCTGCTTTACTCTCTTCTTTGATCTCCCAACTACTCCTCCTGCTATTGCTACTCTTCCCTTCCTCCAATCCACATTCCCTTTTGTCCAATTCTTCATCTGATTCCAATTTCTATGCTAATCTCTTTCCTCTCTTCAATCACTTCCTATTTTCCCAGCAAATTGCTGCATCCCTTTCGTTTCTCTCCGTTTCGCGTAAGAGGAAGAGGACGCATTCGTCGGAGCTGCTTGAATTAGGGCCATCCGATAGCGGTGGTGAGGACGGCGGCCGTGGACGAGTCCATCTGTTGCGGACTCGGAGTCCTGATTCTTTCAGGAATCACTTTCGAATGACCTCCTCGACGTTTGAATGGCTCTCTGGTTTGCTCGAGCCTCTTCTCGAGTGTCGGGACCCGGTAGGTTCGCCTCTTGATCTCTCCGCTGAGATTCGACTCGGTGTTGGCTTGTCCCGGCTGGCCACTGGCTGCGATTTTTCGACGATTTCGGACCAATTTGGCGTCTCGGAGTCTGTAGCGAGGTTCTGTGCTAAGCAATTGTGTCGTGTTCTCTGCACTAATTTTCGCTTTTGGGTTGAATTCCCTTGCCCCAGTGAGCTTGAATTAACATCCTCGAGCTTTGAAGATATTGCTGGGCTTCCGAATTGCTGTGGCGTGATTTCTTGTACAAGGTTCAAGATCATTAGAAATACCAATTTTTATGAAGATAGCATCGCTACTCAACTTGTTGTTGATTCCTCGTCACGAATCCTTAGTATTGTTGCAGGATTTCGTGGCGATAAAGACGACTCCACGGTGCTTATGTCCACAACGCTGTTTAAAGACATTGAAGAAGAAAGGCTACTGGGTTCTCCTCCTGTTTACCTTCATGGGATGGCTGTGAATCAATACTTATTTGGACATGGCGAATATCCTTTGCTTCCATGGTTAATGGTGCCTTTTGCAGGAGCTGTTTCAGGGTCAACTGAAGAGAGTTTCAATGAAGCTCATCGATTGATGTGCATTCCAGCTCTGAAAGCCATCATTAGTTTGAGAAATTGGGGAGTTTTGAGCCAACCAATGCATGAGGAATTCAAAACTGCTGTTGCATACATTGGTGCTTGCTCAATTCTTCACAATGCTTTGTTGATGAGGGAGGATTTTACTGCCATGGCTGATGAATGGGAGAGCTTAGCTTCACTCGATCATAGCTCTCAGTATGTTGGTATTGGATTGAATGAGGATTCACCTGATGAGAAGGCTACTATGCTACAGAAAGCCTTGGCTCTGAGAGCTAGAGAGCTTCACACTTAAAATTTCAAGCTCAAGAATCCAGTTGATGGGTGGAATAAGTACAGATCATTTGAAAGAGATTTCATCTCTTAGGATATTTATTGAAGGCAGCTCATCCAGCTCCATTCAACAATTACTATTGTAGGTAATTGACGATTCTTTTACAAATTATTATAACAACGCGTTCTTCTTCTAAGCTTTGGATGTTCTGCTTTTTATTTGTCATGTCCTTTCCCTTTGGACAAAACTGGTCTCATTTTCTGAGTTTTATGTCTAGAATTAGCTATTGCTCGTATGATTATCAAAAAGAAAAAGTGGGCTAAAGTCTCTGATATTTGGAGACTGCAAGCCCTCTACCTGGCTCTCTGTTTCCTTTCACTGACCACAAAAGAAAAACCACAAGGAGACATGGAATAGCCAAGTTCTCATTGTTGTATATCTTGTACTGTGTGTTGTAGTTGAGGAGGAGAACGAATCATTCTTTATAAAGGTGTGGAAACCTCTCCCTAGCAGACGCGTTTTAAAACTTTGAGGGGAAGCTCAACAAGGAGAGTCCAAAGTGGACAATATTTGCTAGCGGTGGACTTGGACCGTTACAAAAGGCATCAAAGCCAGACACCGAGTGATGTGCCAGCGAGGAGGCTGGGTCCCGAAAGGGGATGGATTGGAGGGTCCCACATTGATTGGAGAAGGGAACGAGTGCCAACGAGGACGGTGGGCGCCGGAAGAGGTGGATTGTGAGATTCCACATTAGTTAGGGAGGAGACCGAAACATTATTTATAAGGGTGTGGAAACCTCTCTCTAGCAGACGTGTTTTAAAACCTTGAGGGAAAGCACAAAGAGGACAATATCTACTAACGGTGGACTTGGACCGTTACAAACGGTATCAAAGCCAGACACCGAGTGATGTGCCAGCGAGGAGGCTGGATTCCGAAGGGGATGGATTGGGGGGTCCCACATCGATTGGAGAAGGGAGCGAGTGCCAACGAGGACGGTGAGCGCCGGAAGAGGTGGATTGTGAGATCCCACGTTAGTTAGGGAGGAGACCGAAGCACTTTTTTTAGGGTGTGGAAACCTCTTTCTAGTAGACGCGTTTTAAAGCCTTGAGGGGAAGTCTAGAAGGGAAAGCCCAAAGAAGACAATATCTACTAGTGGCGGACGGGACCGGACCATCAGTCTGAAGTTGGAGTGACATTTGATTGTACCTGAAAATTTCATCGTTCCTTCTTCATTGTAGGATTTTCCTTGGGTCCTTGCTCATTTGTTGTTTTTCTCAGCACAAAAATGCGTACTTTTTAGTCAGATTGCTGTTAAAAGCTCTATGAAAGCTGAAATTTCATAGAGATGCTCGTCTCATGTTTGACTTGAAAGAAACCAAATACATCATCCTACATTGGGTTTAACTAGTTTTCTCTGTCACCATTTGAGAACACTGAATTCTCGACTCCTAACAGGGACGTGTGAATAACCCGTCCTCCTCTCTTTGAAACAAGGGACGTGTGAATAACCCGTCCTCCTCTCTTTGAAACAAGGGACGTGTGAATAACCCGTCCTCCTCTCTTTGAAACAAGGGACGTGTTCATGGGGCTGGATTAGAAAGGTGGAGTATCATTTCTTCTGATGTGTTGTGCTCAATTCTTGTCACTTATCTGCTTTCTCATAGCCTTTTGCTTGATTCTGAATTCAATTATGGTTGTGTCCTGTTAGGAAATGATCAAGATATCAGGGACAGGCATATTCTGGAAATAGTTTTAAGAGACAATGAACCCTTTCTCGAATGCTTAGTATACCTTTGGTTATGGTATTACATTCTCAGCCCAAGTAAGTTGGAGTTTGTAATCGTTCGGGCTAGCAGATATTGCCTTCTTTAGACTTTCCCTTCCGGACTTCCCCTCAAGGTTTTTAAAATGTGTTTGTTAGGAAGAGGTTTTCACACCTCCTCCTCCCCAACTGATGTGGGATCTCACAGTCCACCCCCTTCGAGGCTCAGCCTCTTCCCAAAGCCAGATATTGTCCTTATTGACATCTACTTAGCAACTTTATAACTTGCTGCTCTAAGAAAAGTGGTGCTTTTGACTGCCAAAGCAAAAAAATCAGAGTATCTAGGCAGCTGTTAGCAGGAGCTCAGGACGTTGAATAGGCAATGGAAGAGAGTGATTACAGTTCACATTTTATCTTGTTGGTTTACTTAGGAATTTGATGGAACAACTGAAAATAAGGCTTTTGGTAGACCAGAGAAAGCAAGAGAAGATCATGCCAACAGTTTGAACTCAAGACCCAAGAATTATTTTCATATTCCTAGTTCTCATCGGGACCGTCCCTTCACAGCTTTTTTTTTTAAGTTGAGATGAGACGTTTCAAACTTCTAACTTTTTGATCGAAGATATATATCTTAATCAGTTGAGTGTTGCTTAAACTATTCACGAACCGATTTTATTAGATAGTTTAGTTAAATTTCTCGAGAAATTTGGTATTATAAATTTTTAGTAGACATATAAGATGAACCGTTTCTTTCTCCCATCATTTCAATATCCCGCTAGTAAGCCCGCCTCAATTTTATTAGTTTGTAGTTTTAATAGATGTCACTTATTGAAATTCATTAAACTTATTGAGCCTGTCAAGAATTTATTCATTAAACTTATCAATTTATTCATTAACCTTATTGAAATTTCAATCATTTAGACGGTGAGTATTCTTTTATAATTTTCTTTTCTTTGACGATAAAAATTGACAGTTGTAAAGTATTCTTTTATAAATCTTTTCTTTTATGATTTTGTTTTCGATTAAAACATAACTTAACTAATTGAGACATACACAATGAAATATGAGGTTCGAATTAAATTTTCTCGATTTGAAATTATCTTCGGACCATCTAGTTACTTGAAGTACTTTTTATATTTATTTAATCATAGCCGTACATTAATAAATTTTTATTTTTATTTTCCTAAAAAAAAAAAGATAATATTTGTGAATATCCAGAAAAAGAAAATTAAAAACCAATCCTTTCATGAGCTAAATTAATTTACATATTATTTAATTTTATATAATTCTATCTATTATTACAAATTTCTGAAATTTATATATATATCACAATTGTTTTCAATCAAAATTGATTTCCATATATCAATAAAAGTAACATAAACAAAATATATGTATTTGATATTAATAATACAAAATTTCAACAAAATATATGTATTTGATATTAATAATACAAAATTTCGGGTAAATTTTTTTGCTACATATAGATTCATCAAACCCAACCACGGTTAGCTAGAGTAACTATGATGAAGGTCGGCTGTGAAATCACCAAAAGAGATCTCAACCACGGCAACCAATGAGCAACAAGATTAGATACGGAAGCATTAAGAAGTTGGCCATAAAAGCCATAAAAGAAAGAGTTAATTCGTATGACACTTAACACACAAAATTAAAAGTCCAAGAATCTATTAGACACTAAACAAGAAGTTCAGACCCTGAACATGTAATTTACTTTACTATAAGCGATCTCGATCTCAACGTAAGGTTTGTTCGAACAGACATATTTTTATTCTTTTTATTCTGTAGATGAAGGATGAAGGGCAGTTCTTGAAGCCTTTTAGCAAAACCTAGAATAAGCAACCTAGGTACTAAACACAAACTTCTTAAGCCTAAACTAGAGGATGAACTCACAAGTCAAGCACCCTTTAATGCTTATTATCATCAATCAGGCATTTGAAACATCAATTCCATCAATTATGGTGGAGTTCAGACCAATAAGCAATGCCAAACAAGATCAAGAACTTGTCCAAGTCAAACAACAGCCACTTGGGGAGCCTAAGTTCACAGAGTTTAGCAGAGCAATTAGCACCAAGGTTTACAATTTTCAGCCACAGCAAAGGACAATGCATCAACATCCCATGTTCTACAGGGAGACACTCATTGAAGATGAATGGAAATCAAGTGAATAATGAAGAAAAGGACTGATGATTTCAAGGAAAGTCAAGTACAATAACTATTTTGCCCAATAGCTAGATGATCATCTTCAACAAGAATCCATCTCGTAAAAATGATAATTAATCGATAAGTATGGTCGGTTTTCTGCACTATAATCTTAACACAAACAGAAACAATTGGCGGATAATTCACGATGTTTCAAAAAGCATTTTGATTGAAATTATCGTAATAACAACGGAAAATCAAGTCTTACAAATCCAAATACTTATACTAGAGAATAGACTGAAGAATAATTTTGATGTCTTCGAAGCAATGTGAACTCAGAAACAAAAACAAATTATCATTACCGACTAACGCCTTTCCCCGACGCTTCCCTAGTACTCTTCGATCAACGGTATGATTTCTGGAACCTAGCACGAGCACCACGACCACCAAACTTCTTGGGCTCACAGCGCCTAGGATCAGCGACAAGCAAAGTCCTATCATACCTAACCAGAATGTCTTTAATCTCCTTCTTGCTCTGCTCATCCACGTACTTCTGGTAGAAGGCAACAAGAGCCTTGGCAATACTCTGACGGATGGCGTAGATCTGCGAGGTGTGACCTCCACCCTTCACTCTGATGCGCATATCGACACCAGAGAAACGGTGACGTCCAAGGAGGAGGATTGGCTCGTAGGCCTTGAAGCGCAAGATCTCTGGCTCAACAAGCTCGATTGGACAGCCATTGATCTTAATCAAACCCCTGCCGCGTTTGCAGTAGGTGACGGCCACCGCCGTCTTCTTGCGTCCGAAACATTGCACCGATTCGATCGGAGCCGCCATTGCTAGGGCTTCAGAAAGCTGCCGGAGTGAAAGCCCCAAATTTAAATCAGAACGTTCAGGCCTGAGGCCAAACCTGCTAAAGCATTTATATATGATTCCCTCGTTAGGGTTTTTAAGTTTCGAAATATACCCTCAGTTTATCACTAATTACAACAAAACCCCAAACATTCAAAACGCACCGTATTGTTTTTTTTTCCACCTCTTGAAAATTATAACTGCATCCAATTTGTTTAATTAATAAAATGCTTTTGATATTAATTTATAAAATGTTTTATTTATTATTTTACTTACAATATTAATTCTTTTTCAACCTTTTTTGCTTGAGAATATTTTAACTTAATTGAGTTATAATTAAAGTTGAGAATTTGCTTGTTTATTAAAACTAATGTGAATAAAAATAAATTGACATATAATAAAAAAAATTGATAATTTTAAAAATTTTAAAAATTTATTTTTCTAAGATAATTGGATAAACATGTTTCTAGGGTATTACAAACATATTAAACATATAATTATGGTGCTAAACCATATTCATAATTAACCTATCCATAACAATCATACCATATACTTCTAATTGAGATTTGTAATTTTTAATTTTTTACCCACTTTAAACTAAAATAATAATAATAAGGTTAAACATCACGTTTATTCAGTATATTTTGTACTTTTAATAAATCTTAAAATTCTACCAAACGAACATAAAACGAGACCAAAAAGAATTCTTGCTAGGTTAAAAATTCCTTTCCCTAAGATAAAATTTTTCAAGTAGATTCAAGAGTGAAGAGCATGAGCCATCTACCGAGAGCGATCGAAAGGCCTCGACATAGTAACATCATGAATGTGCATTTTCCAAATCAACAAAGAGATCATATAATGATATGAAAGAAAACAACACAAGAAAGATAGATTAAAAAAATGACTATCCGGATTAATGTCAAAAGAGAGAAAATAAATAAACCTTCAACCTAAGGAAAAAGTGTACCATCAAAGCAGAACTAAAAAGAAGGGGAAAAAAAACAAAGAAACTGTCAGCAGTCTTCAGGAGTTCTGAGGGGAAAAACCGTGGTCTCCACAAATAAACAACGAGTCGATCGTATCGCACACAACTACTACATGTTTTCATTCATTCATGAATCAGGAAGCCTTATGAACACAACCCCAACCAAACCAACCAACTCACGACACGAGGTTCTCGGTCAGCGACAGAGAGGCTAGCTGATCAGCGGCTGCATTGCCTGCTTGCTGCTGCTGTGTTGCAGCAGCTACATTCCTCAAAACCTCCATAGCCTCAGCTACTTTCGCCTTCAAAGCCTCCGGGGACTCGAGTAAATGCAAGACCTCAGTCTGGTCCATCTCAAGAAGCATTCCAGTTACCTTGGCTGCGTTGTCTGGCTCCAACTGTTCCACAAGCGGGTAAAGATTCTCCCCCAGCATCTATACATTTAATCACAAGCAATCCAGTTAAGTAATGATTCATGTTCAAATTCATATGAATAGTATTGAAATCTTCCGTTTATAATTTAGAAAATGCTTACTGTTCTCTGTTGGTCTGGAGTAGCATTTGCCAAAGCAGATGCCAGAGCACCTACAGGGACAGGTTGAGAGGAGAGGGATGCATCACGCAACGGCATACCACCCATATCATATGGAACAGAAAACATGCCTCCAGCAACACCAGGCATAGGAACATCAGGCAGACCTCTTCCTGGGGGATAGCGATAGACACGTCCTCCTCTAGGCATCATCTATCATCCATTCAACCAACCAAAACAGACCATTATATAACACGAAAAGCCCACAACAGAGAAAGAAAGATGGAAAGAAAAATCATCAACCTGTTGTTGCATCATTGGAACAGGCTGCTGGGTTTGCTGGACAGCTCCTGCACGTCTGCCACCAGGACGCGGCCCTTGCTGACCCTGTTGAACCATTGGGACAAAGAAATTTGGCATTGGACCTCCACCGGGCCTTATACCAGGAACAAGCTGCTGCTGATAACCAAAGCCACCCTGGCAAAAATGATACCCGTAAAACAAACTGAACAATGTGGCTCTCATAATGACACAATGCCTTTCGGAAGGCAAGATAGAATTTCAATGCAATTTAACCACTGATTCACTACAACTAAAAGGTAAAGAATACGGAATTAAAATGCCAACAAGAAGTGTCTGGTAAAAGTAGTTACTTGGGAAGGAATCATTGTAGGAGGACCTTGACCATAAAACATTTGCTGTCCGATACCTGGACCACCAGGGGGATAGATTGGCATCCGAGGGGCAACTGAAGCAGCCATGGGAACCGGTCGTATTTGAGAGAACTGAGCCTATACAACATAGTCAAAATGATAATGTTTGACAAAATAAAAAAATAAAAAAATGGAAAGCAACCAAGCCTGGCGACTTAGAAGGTAGTATGTCCCCGAGGCCAAATTAATTATGACAAATGATGTTACAACGGCAGTGCCAAGTAAAAGTATGAAAACATAAGAAAAAGAACCTGCAATCTGGCCCTTCTATCTTCTTTCCTCTGTGCAAGAGCTACATACAATGGTTTGCTAACAACTATTTTGCCATTCATCTCCATAAGCTGTCAATTATACCAATGAACCATTACAATCCTTCCATATACTTGCATCATTAATCACAGGCATATATGGAAAAAAGCACAGCAATTAAATCAATTGTGAGTAGGGATGTTTCTAAATAGATAATAAATCATATATAGAAAACAGCACATCAACTCACAGCTCTAGATGCCTCTTCAGGGGTTGAAAATGCAACAAATCCAGAACCTCTGCTCACACCATTGGGGTCACGCATGACCTGAAACACACAAAATAACCAAAATACTATACCCGCGAAAGGCCTAAACCAAAAGACAATGTAAATAATAACACTTGAATAAAATTACAACCTTGCACGAGGTGATAGTGCCAAACGGAGCAAAAACCTCCTTAAGCTTATCATCACTAATACTATCATCTAAATTTTTAATGTACAAGTTTGCCCCCTGGTACTTGTCAGCTGCCTCTTTCATGGTTTGTTCAAACCGGTTCTTTAATTCTACTTCTCTTTCAGATTTTTTCTGTGCTCTCCCAACATACCACTCCTTATCATCAAATACATTTCCATTGAGGGCATCAACTGCGCTAGCAGCATCGTCAGCATTTTCAAAATTCACAAATCCAAAGCATTTTGATTTGCCATCAGCATCCCTCATCACAACGATACTGGTGATTGTCCCAAATTCAGAAAAAACCTTGTTCAAATCTTCTTCCGTAGTTGTCTCAGAAAGATTCTTGACAAACACATTGTTAAATTTGGATTTGCCAACAGAACTATCTCTTTCTTGTTTACGAAGAAAGGGTCCTACATAAACTTGTTTATCATTCAACAGCATACCGTTCAACTTCTCAATAGCTTTCAGAGCAGACTCCTCATTGTCAAATTGCACAAAACCATAGCCTTTTGACTGGCCAGAGGAATCTAAAGCCACTTTGCACGACAGGATACTACCAAATGCCGAAAATGTATCATGTAGAGCTTTATGGTCAATTGCTTTGTCTAAATTCTGTAAAATTAAAATGTAAAAGTTAATTCATAACAAAATCGAGTAATCAATTTGAATAAATGAACATGTAATAAACAAAAAGGTATGAATAAAACATGAAAAACATGTAGAGCTTTATGGTCAATTACTTTGTCTAAATTCTGTAAAATTAAAATGCAAAAGTTAACTCATAACAAAATCGAGTAATCAATTTGAATAAATGAACATGAAATAAACAAAAAGGTGTGCATAAAACATGAAAAATATAGATACCTTGATAAATATATTTCCAGCCCCACTTTTGCGAATGCTTGGGTCACGGTGAGAATACATAACTCTAATAGGTTTTCCATTTAGTGGGGAAAAGTTCAGCACATCCAATGCTCTTGCAGCTGTTCAAGCAAAAAATTATTACATTAGCTAGAATGGTGTGCATTTAATGTTTAATGAGATCAAGATGAAGTTCCAGAATCTATGGAATATGAAGCAATAATGACTCTGATCTTTGTTTGGATCACATGATGGTTTGTAATAAAATTTTGCATTCAAATGAAAAAGAACTGAAGTCCTAAAAAATTTGTTCCAAATTGTTACGTCCCAAAATCTTACCCATTGAAGAATTTACACAATGTTTATCTAAAATAAGCAAACACTAGAACATAACAATCCGTCCATATATGTAGACATGTCCAACAACTCAACCTTCCAAGCTATTGGTTTAAGCTAACTTGAATCATAAAATATGCATATTAACGTAACATTTCCAGACCTACCTAAGAATGAAACTAGCAATCATCAATTTAAGATACACATGCTACACAAGGCTAAAAAACTAGCCTAAATCCAAGGATTATAATGTCTGTCGTTATGACATAAATCAGGGAGTACAAACTGAAATTAAGGACTATCAAGTATAAATACTCGTGCAACATATATATCTATACCTACATATGCATATTAACAGTGAGATCAATAATTTATTTTGGAAGTAAAAAGAACTTAATAATTAATTTTAATCCAATATTGATATTTTAATCCTTGCCTAAACCATCATCTGTCCTTGCTGGTATCTACCTTAATAAAATTGTTGGAACTAGAAGGCATATCTATAGAACATATGGTGTATTCATGCAATACCTTTATTGATCATTTTTCAACAGAGGTACGTCATAGCCATAGAAAACAATATTGATATTCTAAAGACCAAACATCATAATGCAATAAAATGATATTCAGCATCTCTCAGTCCGACAGCCCATGTTTTAATTCTCGAAATGATAAAACAAACAGGTTTTTTCACGTCTTGTAGACAGAAATGGCCATCAGAAAGTATGCATTATTTTAACCCCAAAAGCAACCACTCAATCTTTTATAATTGTTATTCTCCTAGATGACACTAATTTCCCCGATTTGTATCAAATTGCTACAAGCTTTTCTTTTATGGGATTGGTAGGACTAAATTCTCTCGATACATCTATGGATTAATATGCATGAACCATCCTAAAATTTAGAATTCATCTCAGCATTATACCAGCCCAAGCAATCGGCCAAATCAGCTAAGAAATGTTCATCGCTAAAATTGAGCTTAAGAAAATAAACAAAGCACATTAAACACGAAATAGAAGCGAAAAAAAGTGAAGTCACACTGACCATCTTGTGGGTTGCTGTAGTTGACATAACCATAGCCGAGAGATCGCCGGGTCGTCAAGTCTCGGCAAACCCGAACCGAAACCACCTGACCCAACTGATTAAATATATCATAAAGCTGCGAATCCGTGACATTCTGGTCCAGATCTCCGACATACAAAGAAGTAGTCACAAAATTTGCACCACCATTTCCCGCCGGATTGATGCCGGGAATGGAATTTTGAGGCTGAGCTTGCACCTGAGCCGCCATACTCGAAATACTTTCTCTACTTTCCAAAAAAAATTCAATAATTAGTTTTCTTGCCCTTTTTTCTCTCCTCACTTCCCTCTCCTTTTGTTATTCAGACACAAACCCTAAGAAGGAATCAGTGAACGGCGATTCTTCAGACACTCAAAAAAGGCCAGCAAAACGCAACGAACAACCGGGGAGGATAACCAAAACCCTTAAGATATTAGATATTGAACCAAAAATAAACAGCCCCGACGGAAAAATCTCCCTACTCCTAAAACGAATAATTGTTTTGATATTTCTGGAAGAGAATGATAGTGAAGAAAGAGGAGGAGGAAGGACAAGGACCGGATAGATAATCGGAAGGATCCGAATGAAGGGATGAGTAAGCGCCGGAAAATGAGCGGCGCGTGACGTATAAACGACGGAGACAGAGTCGAAACAAAAAAAGACGCGAGGGTTTGGAGGGCAGATAAAACTGCACTAAAAAAGGAGGAAGAAGAGGAAGGCCCGAGACCTTATATATGTAGACAGTTACGGGTAAACCCTAGAGATAAATCTATACGCGAAATCTCAACCGTCCATCTTTACTTTCTGTGGGCCCATCTGACGAGGTCAAGTCGGGAATCCGTACGTAACCGGTAACTGTAACTTTTTCAGTTGGCAGTGACGGTCTTCCGGAAGAATAAAGAATCAGTTTTTTTAAATTAAAAATAAATAAATAAATAATAAATATCTGTAAATATTGTTTTCTTTTTCTTCCGTAATTATCCTATTTTTGTTTTTTTTTTAATTAATTAATAACAAATTTCACGCAAGGCAGTTATAGTTCCAAATTTATAGTGAGAATTAATATATATTGTTTTTTAGAATTTTAAATCAATTCTAAGTTGTACAAAAAAAAAAATACTTTGAATAAGATTGAAATGGTCTTTTACATTGTTTTTTTAAATATTTTTTAACTAATTTTAATAACATTCTTACACAATTTTCAATTATTGTCTTATAAATCTATTGCTAATATATTTTTGTAGGATTTTTTTTTCTTTTTTTTCTTAGCACCCAACATAAATATCAAAATTATCTTGCTTATTGCAAGATATATATATATATATATATATATATATAAATATCAATCTATTGTTATTTTATTTCTTTTAGATTCCCTTCCTAGGCTACATTAATAAAATATTAATAAACTTTCTATTTTATCTATGCAAATAAGTACAAATTATTAAAAATATATATTAATTAATACTCTTCAACTTTTTAATAATTTAAAAATTTTCTAACCATTAATACTATGTTTTAAAAAATAAAGTTCAAAAAAATAATTATTATGATATATGGAAAAAAAATGTATATAAAATTCATGTGTTTTTTTTTACGTAAATTTTTTTATTTAATCTAATAATACTATTTTATATCCAAAAAGAAATCCGTTGTTTTTATATGTAAACTTTATTGATTATTAATCCAATTTCAATAAACACGTGAACTATAAACAAACAAATTAATAAATTAAAAAATTAACGTGTTATCCTTACATAGTGTATGTAAAACAAAAAATACAATAAATATATTTGAACTAATTTAAAACGCTGAAAATTTATATTCTTTTTATTTAAAACGTTTTTTATTTTGAATTAATTTGATTTGTTCCAAAAAAAAAAAAGCTTTTAATTTATAGAGACTTCAAAAAATAAGTATATTCTAAATTAATAAAAAATATATATTTTTTAATTTTACAAATTTTATAAAAAATATTCGTGTAAAATGATATATATATATATATATATATATATATATATATATATATATATATATATACTTAAAAAGAAACTCCAAAAAGTCCAAAAATGCCATTTTCGATGAAACATTAATATTTTAAAAAAATAACATTTAATTTTGAAATATAAAAGTTGAAAAATTAATTAATACAATTTAACTTTTCTAAAAAAATTTAAAAAACATCTTTATACTATTTTTAAAACTTAAAAAATACTTCTTTTTTTTCTAAATTAAAAAACACACTCAAATTTTTTTAAAAAGTGTGCTAAAGAGTTGGAAATAATATATGAATGTCCGATCAATATTTTTCGTCTATATATATAGACAATAAGAATTTGTTTAACATTTTTTACCGTAAAAAATATTAATGCTACTTTTCAAATTTTATAGATATTCCTAAATGTTTTTGAAATCATAAAAAAAAAAAAGTTGAATTGTATTAACAATTTTTTAAAAGTTTTTGAAATAAAACGTTCTTATATAAAATAAGATTTTTTTTTTTTTTTTTGGAGTATTATTGAAATTTTAAAAAATATTTACGAGAGAAATTATAAATTTTAGGATTATTTTTATTATTTTGTTAATTTGTTTTTTAATTACAAAATGTACATGTTAATCGGAGTTTTACCCAATGGACGGAGTTGAAAGGCCCGACATCACACGTTCTTTGTCGATTAAAGTCGCACTAAGTCGTTAAATATCTCCGCCGCCCCAGACGGGGATTTCCCTCTCCCGCTATCCCGTTTCTTCTCGGGAAAGTGCTGCTTGCTCATACGGAAGTCGGAACGGAAGCTAATTACAACCTAACTCTCCGATTCCGCTTTGATTTTCAACTTTTCCGGTTGTAATTCTCTTCCGTTCGGTAGATCAGCTATTGATTCTTCCAACTATTCTCTTCCCAGGCTACCGTGTTCGTTTTTTCCATCGGCGAAAACGCAGTTACTCGACGAACAGTAAGCAAAATGAGCTCCATCTCTCTGTCTTGTGTGCTTGCTCTTGCGCGGGCTTATCCTCACCACCTTCCTAACTCTCAGCGCCAGCAATTGTGTCGCCGGCCTCTGCCTTCGTCTAATTCTCTCACTAGGTTGCAGAGGTTTGAGATCTCTGACCGAAACTCCGCCGGACCTCCCTTGCATCTGGTTCTCGCTTCCGCTGGAGCTGGCGTCCTCAACTCCTTTCCGGTTTGTCATTTCTTTCTCGCTTTCTTTTGGCTGTAGTTGTTCTATTATTCATTTCCAGGGAGGCGTGTTTGTCTCTGGGTTATGTACTGGAAACGAAACTTTAATCGACGGTTTAATGTAATTTAGCATAATGTAATGAACGGGATGTCATCCTCTGCAATTCCTTCACGTATCTTCGCCTAATTATGATCTGTATGTTCGTCCAATATGAACAACTATGAACATAACCGCAAAAATTTGATGCCATTTTGGCTGAGAAGTAATCGAGAGATTAAACTTCTCCTTTATAACGATTCATCGAATCTCTTCGACTAAGCTTATGCTGCAAAATTTTAGAGTGGAACATCGAACGGAAGCCGACGCTCGTAAGTACTATTTACAATTATCAATCTCACCCTACTTTTGGCTAGATCTATGATATATGTTATGGTTATTTATAATTATTTTTTTAGAGAGGAATAGTGTGGGGCAATAACTTTGGCTATTTTAGCCTCGGTTTTATTCTTCTGCTTACTGCTTGGCCGTCTGTATCTCGCTCTTATTTTATCATTATGATTTTCAGATACGAGGAACATATACGGTTGGTGATTTTATGACTAGAAAGGAGGATCTGTTTGTTGTTAAACCTACAACAACAGTTGATGAAGGTGCGGTTGATTTAGGGCTTTTATTTTAATTATTTTCTTTATAATTGCTAATGATAATTGTTTAATTCATCTGCTTTTGTGGTCACAGCATTAGAAACCCTTGTGGAAAAGAGAATAACTGGTTTTCCTGTTGTGGATGAAGATTGGAATTTGGTAGAGTTTTTCCTTCCATCTTTTTGTTCTTTCCTCTCGTAGTGTTATATTGAAACTGCCAACTTACTGTGGAAGTGAATTACCAAAGTCTGATGATATGGTTGTAGAGGGGACTGTGGAAGGGATCATCTGTTTGTTGTCGCCGATAATCATACAAAATAAATAAATAAACATATTATTGAGGGGTTGGAGTGTATGTCTATCTATGGTCGAAGTATTACCCTTAAGCCATGTCAGGAAGTTTAGTCCATTTATGTTAAGAGTACACTTGTTTTCAAGAATCCATACTGCTATTGAAGCTGATAACCTGCCTTACTTAGTCGTAATAATTTGGTTTATATGATTTTAGTGCCTTTACATTAATTGCCTTCTGTGGCAGGTTGGGGTTGTCTCAGATTATGACTTATTAGCACTTGATTCGATTTCAGGTATTTTAACTTCTGATTGTCACCATTACTTGTGGAATTATTCTCGTGCACTTTTCTGTTGAAATTGGGTTTCTGTCCTCTTTAGTTTTAATTACATTACTATTACTTTATTCATCCTTCTTATATTGATTCCTAAATGTTGAAGTGCTTCATTCAAATTGTTTTTGTTGGGTGGACTAGTAACAAAGTTTCGTGGTTTGTATGTGATCAATTATGGTGTTTGTTGGTAGTGTTATTCTCGTCTAGCTGTTACTTTTTTTATCATGTTATTTTCATCTAGCTGTAGGTTATCAATTATAGTGGCCACTTAATATCTTATAAGCTCTATAAAAAACCAAATAAAGTACAATCTTACTGTTGTCTGGTAAGATTATTTGAGGTGCATGTAAATTGACATTAATGCTCACAACTTCTCTAAAAAGGTTCAGTCACAATTCGTCAATCATTTTCTTTGTACTTTATTGTAACCATCTATTCCATTGCTTATCTTACCCAATAATGTTTCACCCTTTTTTTTTTTGGAAATTAGGTGGCACGCAAAGTGATAATAATCTGTTTCCTGATGTGGACAGTTCGTGGAAAGTATGTAAGCAATGCCCTCATTTATCTTCAGGTTATTTGTTTTTGTTGTTGTGGAGACATTTGATGTTAAAAAAAATGCTTTGACTTAGAAACCCAATAAATCCAACCAAACTGTCTGGGTTGGGTTTCTATTAGTTGAACCCAAATCATAAAAAAAATTTATTTTTATATTTTTTTTTTACTCATAAAAATTACTGATTAATCTTTGGAGTATTTGTTTTTAATAAAATAAAATATGTCGTTTTCACTACTTTTTATTTTTACATTTCAGTACAACTCATTTGTAGTTTAAAAACTGATGAGATTTTCTATATATCTGATTGTAGCACTCTGCTGCTATTTTCTTTTGTAATGATCATGTAAGCAGCTCAAGTTCTTTACGGAACACCGATTTGCCGCGAACATGCTACAAGAAAACATATATACCTGCAAAATTATCAAGAAAACATATATACCTGCAAAATTATCAAGAAAACATATATACCTGCAAAATTATCTTTAGAACGTGATATGTATAGTTACTTGCATAGTGTTATTGACATTATTTTGAGGAGAGTGCTTTAAAATTGAAGTAGCTATGTAGTCTCATAAATTAGATCTCCCATCCCTTGTTAAGTAAAATCTTTTGAAGAAGAAAGAGTCAACAGAAGTTAGCTCTGCCATTGACATCTCTTGATTAAGTAAAATTCTTTGGAGAAAGAAGAGTCGCAGAAATTAGCTCTGCCATTGACATATCTTGATTAAGTAAAATTCTTTGGAGAAAGAAGAGTCAAAGAAATTAGCTCTGTATTGGCATCCCTTAATTAAGTAAATTTCTTTGGAGAAAGAATAGTCACATGATCATGACCATGAATTATGTGGAGCGGTGGTTCACCACCATTTGTTTATTGAAATGAAAAATAAATCTATATGTTTGCTGAATATGGTGGCAGACGTTCAATGAGATACAGAAACTTCTCAGTAAAACGAATGGTAAAGTTATCGGCGACCTGATGACACCTGCTCCACTAGTTGTTCGTGAAACTTCAAATTTAGAAGATGCTGCCAGGTAATCTTTTTATATCTCTCTCTTCTGCATTATCTTTCAATCTGAATCTATATATTCCATGGCTTCTTTATCTGAAGCTCTCGAAAAAGGGCGAAAAAGTACCCCCTTTGTTAGTCACTTTTGACTACACCTTTGAGGCTCACAATTCTTTGTTCGATATTTGAGGATTCTATTGATATGGCTAAATTTAGGGCATGGCTCCAATATCATCTTAGAAATCACGACTCTCCACAATGGTATGATATTGTCTACTTTGAACATAAGCTCTCGTGGCTTTGCTTTGAGCTTCCCCCAAAAGGCCTCCTACCAATGGAGATAATATTCTTCACTTATAAACCCATGATCTTCCACTAAATTAACCAACGTGGGACTCACTCCCAATAATCCTCAACAAAAACATCGTTCAAATGACACATTTTTTAGAAAAGACTGCAGAATCAAGAGTTTACCCATTTTTACAAGTTAATCTGTGGCTACCGAAGTTTGAAACCATTGTTTTAACTAACTTGAATTTTCAATTGCTTAGGTTGTTGCTCGAAACAAAATATCGTCGATTGCCAGTAGTAAATGCAGATGGCAAGCTGGTAGTAATATTTCTTTTTCTTTTCCATTCTACTTTAAAAGTGTAATAACTTTTCAAAGCTCCCTCAGCCATGGCCGTCCATCTTATTTGTTTCTGTTTCCATGTTTCAGGTGGGTATCATTACTAGGGGAAATGTTGTTAGAGCAGCATTGCAGATAAAACGTGCAGGTGAAGGGTCGACGTAATTCTAGAAACATTGGCTGGTGGCGCTCCGAGGTAAACATGTATCACAAAAGCTTAGCATTGTTTGTAGATCATGAATATAGTATCCTATAGTTTACACATGGTTGGGTTGTTCCTGAAGTTGTGGATTCCGTCCTCAAGCAAACTATAGCTTTAAAAATGGAAGTTCATTGATGCTCTAAGATTCTTCTTCCCAATCTCCCAACTACGAAATGTTGGTCCATGTCAATATTTGAGTATCCCCAGCATTTCAGGTCGACCCGCTATTAGATTTCATTATGAAGTTGGGTCATTTTTGTTGGAACCTCATTCTTTAGATTTCCCTGAACGTTTTGAATATGATCTGTGAGTATTTTTCTACTGCTTTAAGGATATCTTGTTCTGACTTTAGCTGGCGTCTGTAAATGTGAGATTCAATCAACGAGCTTAAGACTTAAACGAGAGTGTCTAGTACTTGGAATAGCCTGTATCATAGAACCTATTTTAGTTTCTGAACTTTCTTAGGTACTTGGAATATAGCCCGTATCACAGAATCTATTTTAGTTCGTGAACTTTTTTAGATTTTGTTTTAGGTTTTCTACTTCGAACGGATTTATCGAGTTAGAATTTGTATAAATTTAAAGCAAACCAAGTATTATAAGGGTAGGGTTGCTTCTGGGTTAAGAAACAATGCAAATGCTGCATCATTGAGGAATATGAACTTTTTTTTAAGGGAATATGAACTTTTTTTTAAGGGAATATGAATATAAAATTGGTCATCACCATGGCGTGTGAAGTAAGTAAGGATTTTGCCCGTGTTTCAAAAACATGTGACGTGAGACGAGAAAAAATGGGTACATGGTTGACTCTGACCTGGACTTTGAAACCTAAGTCGTCCCGAGTCATTGAACCACGCCACGTCACCCAAGTCGTCGGGAATCCAAGCCAAATGCAATCAACTTCTTTGACCCTTGCTTTGACTATTTTCTCTTTAAAATATTATGCCTATATGATTAAAAATAAAAAAAATAATATTATTTCATTAGAAAGTTGGGCGAAAATAGATGTAATTTTGACGTTAAAGATAGTGACTAGGAATTTATCCCGTGAAAAAAAAGAAATTCAAATTTTTATTCAAGTAATATAAATGAATTTGTTTGGGTTACACGGTCAATTCAGATTAGCTCTAGTTCGATTATAAAATACAGTTAGAGGAACTCTATGTGGAGCAATTAGACATAAATTGATACCGACGCCTCCAAATTTGGTTGAAGTTACTCCATTAACAACCAAGTTAAATCTTTTTTCGGATTCCACCCATTCGGATTGAGTTAATTAGTTTTTAATAAGGCAACTTTTGAAATAAAATCTAATTTTAAATAAACAAAATTATGTAAGAGTAACATTTAAAGAGGTTCTAGAAACAGAACATTTGAGTCAATTAAGAAACGGGTGAAGACCGTTGATAGCAACGGCGGTACCAATTTTCAGCGCAAGACTTGACGAATCGGAGCGAAGGGGTCCTATTTTCGTCCACCTTCTTGACCAATTTGCAGTATTAAATTCCATGATCGTAGCAACAGAGTTCCTCAGATTTTCCCGCTTCTATCTCTGCGAATCCCTGTTTCTCCTCTCTAATGGATTCCAAAGACACCCAACTCCGAATCTTCTTCTTCCCCTTCATGGCGCAGGGCCACTCCATCCCCGCCATAGACATGGCGAAACTATTCGCTTCTCATGGTGTCAATGTCTCCATCATCACAACCCCTCTCAACGCTCCACGCCTAGCCAAATCGATCAACAACTCCGGTCATCCAGGCCGCGAAATCGAGCTTCTCATCATAAATTTCCCCTCAGCGGCCGTCGGATTGCCGGACGGTTGCGAGAGTCTCGATTTGGCTAGGACACCGGATATGTTCCAGAGGTTTTTTAGGGCAACCACCATGTTGGAGCCTGAAATTGATCGGATTCTCGAACAGCATCGCCCTCACTGCCTCGTTGCCGATACATTCTTTCCATGGACGACCGACGTAGCTGCCAAATACGGGATTCTTAGGGTTGTGTTTCATGGAACTTGCTTCTTTTCTCTGTGCGCGGCGGCGAGTATTATCGCGAATCGCCCTTTCGATAAGGTATCCTCTGATTTACAACCTTTTGTAATCCCTAATTTGCCTCATGAAATCAAATTAACTCGTAGTCAAGTGCCGGGATTCTTGAAAGAAGAGGTTGAAACGGATTTCATTAAGCTTTATCGAGCGAGCAAAGAAGTTGAATCCAGATGTTATGGATTTCTCATCAATAGTTTCTATGAGCTTGAGCCAGCGTATGCTGATTATTACAGGAATGTTATGGGGAGAAAGGCTTGGCATATTGGCCCCCTTTCTCTGTACAGTAATGTTAAGGAAGATAAAGTACAGAGGGGAGATTCTGTATCCATTGACGAACATGATTGCTTGAAATGGCTGGATTCGAAGAACCCTAATTCGGTTCTTTACGTAAGTTTTGGAAGTCTTGCTAGTTTAACCAATTCCCAGCTGCTGGAAATTGCCAAGGGCCTTGAAGCTACAGGTCAAAGCTTCATTTGGGTTGTGAAGAAGGAGATTCATGATCAAGCAGAGTGGCTGCCAGAAGGATTTGAGAAGAGAATTGAAGGGAAAGGGCTGATCATAAGAGGCTGGGCACCACAGGTTCTGATTCTCGATCACCGGTCGATCGGCGGGTTCGTGACTCACTGTGGTTGGAATTCAGCTCTTGAAGGAGTGACTGCTGGGTTGCCAATGGTCACATGGCCAAATTCTGCAGAACAATTCTACAATGAGAAGCTGATAACTGATGTTCTAAAGATCGGAGTCGGCGTCGGTGCTATGCATTGGGGAAGAGCTGGGAAGGATTTGATAACGAGCGAGGCGATCGAGAAGGCAGTGAACCGAGTTATGGTGGGGGAAGAAGCTGAAGGAATGAGAAGCAGAGCAGAAGCGCTTGGAATTCAGGCAAGGGAAGCCATTGAAGAGGGTGGATCATCTTTCTCTGATTTGAAGGCCTTCTTTGATGATATCAGGTCCCGGATTTGAATGGTTTGTTCAAGAATGACCAGACAGAAAGGTACTGAATTTTCTTATCATATCACTATCTTATAACTCTATGCTGTTTTAGTAATTGGAGGATTAGATGAATAAGTGGTGATTCCTTAACCAGAAATATGTATACATATGAAGAACACAATGAGCATTTGAGCATGCTGAGCTTGGGCTTGATACAACCATATATAACACAATATAGATCTTTGTCCATACGCACTTAAATTTGTGTCAATATATGGGCTGATCTTGGGCTTGATTTGTACATGATTCCTTTCGAACCCACGTTAGTTAGAGCGAGGAATGAAGCATTCCTTATGAGGGTTGTAGATGTTCTTCTGTTTGTGTGTGAGATCTCGGTTAGTTGGAGAGAGGAATGAAATATTTCTTATAAGGGTGTAGAAACTTCTTCCGTTAGACACGCGTTTAAAACTTTGAGGGAAAGCCTATTAGCAATATGTTTGGGGTCTTACACTTTGAACATTGGCAATGGAAACCGAGCTTTCTATGGACAGGTGTTGACTTTTTACAAGGAACAAAGCCATAAGTGGCTAGAAGTCAATTTCTCTCTTAGCTTTAGCTTACAGGTCGGGCAAATTCTAACCCTTGCAAACGTCGAGGGTCTAATTTTATAATTACAAGTGTGACAGAAAAGTACGTTTAAGGGTGGTTTTGTAATTCACTAATATATATATATATATATATATATATATATAAAAAGAATAAAAATAAAAATAGTTATTAAATGGGGTCGTAACTTTTGTCTTTTTTTTTTTTAATTATAGGTCTTAAATTATGGAAAAAAAAATAATGTGGTTGAAAACTTTTTATTTTCCTTATCCAAAAATAAAAATAAATAAATAAATGAATGAATTTGTGGAAATGTAATCCATATTTTTCATGTTGGCCCATTTTGATCAGCATGAGGAGGGAGTGATGACGTAATGCTTTTCCTCACATTACCTCATCATATTATGATTAAAACTATATATTAAAATAAAAAACACCAACCTTATAATATTACAATTAAAAGGGTATATAATTTCTTTTTCCCTTAATACAATTAAAAGTTTATTTATTCAATTAATTAAAACTATTGTGGGTCGGGAGCAAGAGCAGCATAGGTTCTCTTGGGCGACACATAGTTTATATTATCACTAGGCTTCGAGACGTGTGAATGCAGATAGTAAATATTTTTGCAAGGAATGTACGTGAACGACTTGTCGTCCCCATGGTATTTAGGTCTACATGCAAACTCTTCACAGTCTTTTTCGCATCTCTGATTTGGAAGCCCGGGAATGCAGTTGTTCGAAACGTCTAAAATCTTTTTCTTTATCAATTTTTTGCATGCGGGTCCCACCTAACATAAAATCATAAATATTTAAACATAATTCAACTAATTATATAGATATATTTATAAATTTTAAATTATGGGTGCAATATTTAAAAAATAATTAAATAATTAATTTGTTACTATTTAAAATTTTAATTATATTCTTAAATTTTTTTAAAAAAATAAAAATAAAAAATAGATAAATAAATTATTATAGGGAAAAGTCAGCGTTGTACCTTAGTGAAGAAATTATTCCTCAATGTGAAGTTGCCGAGTTTAGGCAATTTACAGATCTCCTCCGGCACCGGACCGTACAACTGGTTGTCCGCCAAGTACAACAGCTCCGCCTTAGCCAAGCAAGCAAACGACAGCGGAATCGGACCGGTGAGCCGATTCTTTCCAGCGTCGAACAGCACAGCATTCTCCAAGTTACCGATCTCGCAGGGCAAGTACCCGTCCAATTTGTTGTTGAAGAACACGATCTCTTCCATTGTCTTCTTGGCGTCGCCGATGCTCCTCGGAATTTGGCCAGTGAACTGGTTGTTGGCGAAGGTCAGGAACCTGGCCGGAGTTCTGCCGAGATTGCTGGGCAAAGCTGAGCTGAATTGGTTGTTGTTTATGTAAATCGCGCTGATTATGTCTAAGTTGAAGAGTTGCTCTGGAACAGGGCCGCAATAGTTATTGAATCGAAGGTCTAGGAATGTCAACAGTGAAGCTCCTAGAACGTTGTTCGGAAACCCGCCTGTAAATGTTGAAAATTGTTGAAAGGGAGTCCGACGTCGGCTAATTTAGAGAATGATCATGTGTTTATAAGTAAAATCTCCATTGAGATGAAGCCACGAGAACATATGTTCAAAGTAGACAATATCGTACCATTGTTAATAGTCGTTATTCCTATCATGGTAATAGAGTCATGCCCTTAATCTAACCATGTCAACAGAGTTCTCGAACAATATCATACTATTTTGGAGAATCATTATTCCTAACGTAGTAATAGAGGCATATCATTAATTTAACCATGTCAACAGAGTTGTCAAACAATATCATACCATTTTAGAAAGTCGTTATTCCTAACATGATATCAGAGCATGCTCTTAACTTAGTCAGGTCAATAGAATCCTCGATTGTCGAACAAAGGGTGTACTTTGTTCTCGAGGACTCCAAAGAAGCAGTTGAGCCTCGATTAAGGAGAGATCGTTAAGGGCTCCATAGGCCTCATGAGAGGATTGTTAGCATCTCCCGAAGCCTTTTGGGAATATCATACCATTGTGGAAATCAGTAATTCTAAGTTTTACTAGATTTGTTCGAGTTCTTGTGGGTCGAATCGAACGGATTTGAGTGAAATTGAAAGAATTACGAACCTGGAAGCTTGTTGTTGCTGAGATCCATTTCATAGAAGAATCGTTGGCGATTGATTTTCTTCGGGATTGGACCGAGGAAGAAATTGGAATTGGCGTGAAACACAGCGATATCGTCCAATTCGTCCATGAATCCTTCAAGACAGAGCTCTGGACCTTGAAATTTGAAGCCATTAAACATAACTGCAGAAACAGCCCTCTCTTTCTCCACCGGAAGAGGGTCGCATCGGAACCCTTTGTACCGGCACACGTCCTTCCCCTTCCATGTCTTCACCACATCCATCCTTCCGCCGGTGATTTTCTTCCTCAGCCTCTGTATCACGAAATACGCCTTTCTCAGCCGCTCATTCTCGAACTCTGGCGGCGGTGGATACTTCGGTGTTGGCGGTGGATACTTCGGTGCTGGTGGTGGATACTTCGGTGTTGGCGGCGGATACTTCGGTGCCGGCGTTGGATACTTCGGTGTTGGCGGTGGATACTCCGGCATTGGAGTTGGATATTTTGGATTCGGGTCCGGATTCTTGGTACCACCGCCGATGATGATTTCCAGTGACTCCCGGGAGGCGGACCGGGCAGCCGCCGGAGAAGGAGGATGAAGTAGGATGAGGAGGAGGAGGAGGAGGATTGAAAGAGAAGAGAAAGAAGCCATGGCTGTTAATGGAAGAGGAGAAAGAAGGGGGAAAGTGTTAAATAGAGTTTATTTATTTATTTATTTACAATTTAAAAATTATTTAGAGGTACTTAAATGAATTAATTGATTTTAAAAATAAATATTTAAAATAATCCATAGTTATTATTTATACTAATAAAATGCATTTTTTTAGATAATAATAAGAACTCGAGTGTGTCAGTCTGAAAGAACGTCAATTTATTTATTGAAAAGTGCTTAAAAAATGTCTATTTTTGTAAGAATTGGAATATATAATACTAATAATAATGATTTGATGGTACGAGACAAAACGAGTTCACGTGGTGAAGCTGCCAAGAAGTCACCATAGCTCTTGGGACGACTTCTCGTAATTTTTCCAAATTCCAAAGTAACATATAAATATATATATATATATATTATCTATAGTCTTGGAGGAGGAATAAGGGCCAATGATTACCAGTTAAGGACTTTTCAACGATATTTTCATGGTTCCTTTTCCACCTTTTGCCCGCTTAGCTCGGTTGTGTTGAGATATCTATTTAATTTGTGAGATTGAAATTTTCTAGAGATTCACTTTAACGAGATGAAGATTCTCTGTTAGCTAAATAGGGATGAAGATGAATATGAAGTTTTTCGTCCTCGACCCCACCTTGTTTTATATATATAAGGGACATCTACCTCGAACATCTATGCACCAGAGCTATAAAAATAATCTTTTACTTTAGGATAGTAACGATACTTTTAAATTTTTATTGATATTTTTTAAATATGGTATTAATCCTAAATATATTTTTAAACTTTATAAAATGAAATAATATTAATTAAACTTTTTAAAGTTTAAAAATATTTTTAAAATAAAATATTAACTTATCCCATAAAAAGTATAGTATAAAATTATTATTGAGATTTAATTTTTTTAAATTATTTTTTAGATAAATTAGAAACTTTAGAAATATTTTTATTAATTTATGAAGTAAGTAAGTTTTTTTTTTTTTTTTTTTACTGTTTAATCTTTAATTGTAATAATTTTTCAATACTTCGGTAGAATTTGAAATCAATTGTAATAATAGAATCTTTGTTGAAGCTGATTTCTGTATTTCGTAAAATCCTTGATGCGAATGCGTTGATCGAATCAGGTGACGGTGAAACCCGCGGTGGCGGCGTCCTCCGGGCGGTCTGTGGTACCAAATCCCTACGATCAGTGCAGTCGTTGAGGTACTGTAATTTCCTTCTCTTGGTGGTTTCAATGCTCTCTGCCTAGTTTAGGTTAGCTGAAATTTCTGTTTCGAAATCCATTGTTTGTTCTGTTTTATGTAATGTAGTGTATGCGAATCGTTTCTTAGCATGAAATTTCATATCATTTGGTTATTTTTCCGTCTGAAAAGTTAAATTTCAACTCGCTTCCTGCATTTGATTCATCGTGGGAAGGAGTAAATCTGTTTATTTCTTTTTCAGCGGATAATTTCCAGTATCTTCACTTCCCCTCTCGATTCCAATAATTGTTAGCAGTTTAGCCGCAGGACTGAGCCTGTTAACATGCTATTTGTTCACATCCTGCTTTGTTTCTTTTCTTGATCATGAAAAATTTACAAGAGATAGCTACATTTCAATCCAATGCAGTGTCGATTATCCATTGTTTGCTCCTTCATTCATTGTCTTAGATACCATAGCAGATTGTACGTTGTTTCAAATTCGAAGTAGACCCTTCTAAAGATATTTGTTTGCCATCCAAGCTGAAATTAGTTGTAATACTTGGGAATTTTTCTGCTATGTTTCTTTTACCATTGTTTTGTATGACTAAATACCACGTACTCTTCTGTAAGCTCCCAAGTCCCATTTCGATATTCTTCTAAGGAGTCACCCTGTATGCTAGATTTTGTACTCCGGGGTTTGTTTCCACCATGTTTGTTGAAATTCCAGGAGTTGTTTAGAGGATCAAAGCTAACTGACTCCTCTGCTATTTTCAGTTCGGAGTTTAATGGAAAGCTAACATTAGTTTGTTGATGATTGTTTAGACCATCATTTTTTCATTTAAATTCTTGTTGAATTGGAAATGATCATATCTCTTGCTGCATTATCTTTCATTAATCTTGTCACCTATTCTTTATTAAAATGAAGGTCTAGTCGTTTTTTTTTCCTGTTATTCTTCTTCCATTAGGTTTACTAAAAGATTTAATCAGCATGACTTCATTTCACGAACTAGGAATGCTAAGTGTAGAGATTGAACATCATTGTAGAGAATTTTAAATAGAATAATCTCCAATCTCCAATCTCCATTCATTAAAAAGCGCTGATGACGATTTCCCTTTGTCTTGGGGTAGGAAAGAAAAAGGGAAAAAAAGAACCAACNGGGGGGGGGGGGGGGGGGGGGGGGGTATGAGCATAGGTATAAAGCGTCATTCTTCTCCTTTTCCATCAAAGTTCAAATGATTAAACGCTATATGCATTTTTAATCTTGTATTCATGACTGGTGTAGTTTTTTTTTTTAAGTTGGAGTGAGGATCAATCTCTTACCTTTTAGTTGAGGATTTAATACCTTAACTAGTTGATCTATATTCAGATTGACAATATATGTTGTCCATGATTGTTTTGGTAAAAGGAAAAGAACATGTAACAGGAAAAAAAGAAGTATTCGGATGCATATTGGGATTTACTGCCTTCATTGATGTGGATGCATGTTGCTTGATCCTAATCCTCAGGTACAAATGGATGCATGTAGTTTTTTTTTTTGTTCTAACATTGTGGGATATTCAAACCTCTGACATTTTGGTCGAGAATATAGTACTATGTTAGTTGACCTATGCTCATGTTGACAATTGATACAAAACACTACAATGGTGTAAAGTCGTACAACTAGACTTTTATTTAAATTAAATTCTTTTCTTACTGGTTTACATCATAGTGCCAATGGCCTTCTTACTGCGAGTTTCTTTCCCTAGATGACTGATCATAGTGACTGAGTATGTTTACATCATTTTTTAGCTGTGTTCTGTTTGCTGAGGGTTACCACATTATTTATGTGACCTTTCAGTTATCCCACCGGGTTCCTTCAAAATCTGTGATCAATGCACCAGGTCGGTCCCTCTTTCTATGTTCTAATTGAAAGTACAGCCTCTCACATATAACCGTCTAAAAGGCGAGGTAATTTATTATTGAAATGGAATGAATCAGAAATTGATAATTTTACGTAATGCAATCTTTCTATCCAAACCATGTAGGTGATTTATTAACTTTTTCGAGATGTTTGACATAGCAAGAACATGAGAGAAGTAGACAGCAAAACTAGTTGAGCTGAAAGTATTTTATCAATTCAATTGATTCATTAGAATCCATTCCAGTTTTGTCCTTAAGAGTTACTTGCTAGTCAAACACTAAAGTGTATGGCGTTGTTCTTAGCTGCTCTATATTATAATTTGCTACCCAGGTGGATTGATTTGCCCCAAGTACTACCTCTCATCAAATCTAAGAATGTCATTTGTGTCACTTTTAGAGAAGGTTAAGTAGTAACTTTCGACAGCAAGTTCTAAGATGGTGTGCTGGCAGAAATCAAAAAAATTTCCCCCTCTTTGAAAGCAATGATAGCAAAGCTATTAATGCTAGGGTTGACTGTACGGTCTCATTTCATCATCTTGTTTTATTGATGTTTTGCAGTTGAAATCATTTGTTAAATGAAGGCTACTCATTGCTTACATGCTCCCCCCCCCCCCCCCCCCCCCCCCCCCCCCCCCCCCCCCCCCCCCCCCCCCCCCCCCCCCCCCCCCCCCCCCCCCCCCCCCCCCCCCCCCCCCCCCCCCCCCCCCCCCCCCCCCCCCCCCCCCCCC